GTGTGTACAGGAAGGGATGGATGGAAAAATGGATGAATGGACAGGTGGAATAGTGCGTACAGGAAGTGATGGATGCATGGATGGATGGATGGATGGATGGTGAAGGGATGGACAGGTGGGAGGTGTGCACAGGAAGGCTGCGGCAGGGTCCATCCGCTCTGTTCGGGAGGGGCTATGCCGAGGAGGGCCGTATAAGCACAAGCAGGAGACAGGCAGTGCACAAGGGATGCTGGCTCTCAGCTCACCCCCACGCTAAACCAGGCAGCAGGAAATAACAATGAAAAGAAGCCACAGGGTTGAGCCAGAGAAGCAAAGCCCCTGAATGCGCCTGGCAGACCTCCCCTCTAGTGCTCCCCACACCCGGCTGCCCCTTCCACGCGGCCCAGCCAGCGCTCGCCCCTGCCCTGCTTTTCTCTCTAGTTTGTGGGAAGCTCAGATCTCCCCAAGGCTCTGTAGTGCTGGGTGCACTGCTAATGTCACCCCGCCGACAGCATGTCCAATCCTCCCCCGCCACAGGGCCGCAGCTCTGATGCGGGGGGAGTCCATGCTGGCAGGGGATGGGGGGAGAAGCTACTGTCAGCTGAGGGCGGGGATGGGATGTGATTCTCCTGCTCATGAAAATGAAGGAGAAAAGGTGCTAGAGACAGGTGTGATGTGCACAGCTGCTCCGCCGGTACCCCTCAGTCCCGACCCACAGCCCCTGCTAGCCCAGCCCTGGGCTCCCCCCCAAACTCTGCTGGTGGCCCTCACTCCTGAGGCACCTGCCCAGCAGTGGGTCTGGCCCAGTGTGGGCTGGCAGACATCTGAGAAGGGAGTTGGACAGGGGAGAAGAGGAAGAACTCATCACTTCTAATTGACTTCCCAGCTAACGAAGCAATCAAGAATGGGCTGAGCCAGCCTGTGGCCGGGGCTGTGTGCAAAGACTCAGCTAGTGTAAATCACACCGCTCCCGGATTCCACCTCCGCCACACCACGCAGGGCCACTGAAACCAAGTCAGTTCCCCGGCTGTCCAGGAGGCCCTGCAATGCCCAGTCTGGATCCCCCGAGCTAGGCTCCTGCTTCACTGGAGCAGACGAGAGCAAAGTCCTCCCCAGCGTGCCTCAGCTGGCGTCACAGCAGGGAGGGGTCTAGCCCAAGGCAAGGAGCATTGGTGTGCTGGGTTTGCACCGGTGGCCCGCCCAGGGGCCATGCCATGCTCTGCACTGCGAGCCTCCCGCAGGCTGAGTTGCCATAGTCCACCCTCGGGAGATGAGTCTCTCCTAGCCAGGCAGAGCTGGCAGGAGGCATTTCCTGCCCTGGGGCTCTGGGGCAGCAAGAGTCTCATCTGAGTCGGCTGAGACCTTCAAACTCATCCCACTTGTGCAGCAAACAGAGCTGAACCCAACTCTTCCCCACGGACCGAACCGCACACATTGCTGGCTCTGCACAGATGGGAAGCCAGCCAGAGGCCGGCTGGCCTCCAAACAGCCGTGCACTGAGGCAGGTGAGCTAATCACCGGGAAAAGCAGCTCCCGGGTTCATCTGCCAGCAAAGCCGGGACAGACAACGACCGCTGGTGGCTGGAGGGTCTGGCAGTGGCAGCACTCTGATCCCCAGTTCAGCCCGGCAAAGGTATCCTTGTGACCAGGGCAGAGGCATGCAACAAGCCAGCAGAGTAGATCAGGGCTGGCTGATGTTCTGCTGTTACTAACTAGGTGGCAGGAACGCAGGGATCTAACGCTCTGTCCCTTCTGGTTTCTCTCACTGTCTAGCAGCGTCCTGGTCTCTTTCTCACGCACACAAATATCACCCCGAGGACCGACCTTGAAGCATATGAAAGTGTGAGGGACCCAGGAGGCTGCCAGCATCTTGGCAAGGGAAGTTTGGCTCATTGTGTGGGGCTTGCGCCCCCTGAAACCTGCTGAGCAAGAGCTCCTGGTGTGGCGCCGAGGCCAAAGCCAAAGGGCTAACAACAGCCTGCGATGTGTCACCAAGCTGGAGCTGGAGCAGGGAGACATTATGGCATCTGTGCTTGGCACTGCTGCGACCGCTGCTGGAGCCTGTGTCCAGTCCTGGGGCCCCCAGCTCAAGGAGGATGCTGGTCAATTTGGGGAGGGTTTGGAGGGGTGGAACCATGAGAACGAGTGAAGGGTTGGAGAACATCCCTTATAGGGAGAGACTCCAGGAGCTCAATCTGCTTGGCTACAAGGAGGCCCGGGGTGGCTTGATCACAGTCTGGAGGTACCTTCGTGGGGAACAGCAATGGGATAATAGACGCTCTAGCAGCCGGAGGTCTAACAAGAGCCAGTGGCTGACGCTGAAGCGAGATAACTGCAGACTGGAAGGAAGGTGCAGAGTCTAATGGGGGGGGGGGGGGGGGATTAGCCAGGGGAACAACTGACTAAAGGGGGGGGGGGGGGGGTTTCGGCATCACGGTAGTTTGTAAATCGGGGGGGGGTGGGGGTGGTCACTGCTCTAGAGACTCTTCCAGGGCCTGTGCTAGCCAGCGGGTTGGACTAGATGATCAGTCGTCCCTCCTGGCTTTATAAGTGATAAAACTCCTGATACGTGAACCGCACACACACGAGCACGCACACACGTGCACACACTCACACTGGGACACGCATGCACGCACACACGCATGCACACATGCACACGGACACGCACACATGCGCACACACACAGGGACACACACACGCACACACACAGACATGCACACACGTGCACACACACACGCACAAGCACACATGCGCACACACATGCATTCAGCTCCTATGTCACAAGGGCCCTTCCTACTCTTTTCAATGCTGACAGCTCCCCACTTCCTCCCACAGGCACTTCCTTTGTCATAAACTGAGTGGCCTGTCCGGCTGCCAGGCATCGGTAAAACAGCCCCTCCCGCAGAGAGCCCCAGAGCGGGGCCCAGCTGTTCGCACAAGCTCTTTGTGCACCCGAGTGGAGAGCCCGGTGTTGTCAGGCCGGAGCCAGGCACATGGGAGCCCAGCCCAGAGGGGTCTCTTCAAAGCCAGGGGAGCATATTGTGGGAACAGGGGTCTTGAAGGCCTCTGAAGGAGAAGGACTTCAAGTGTGATGGTTCTACTGTGTTTGTGTACAAGTGTATTTGTGTGTACATGTGTAAACGTATGGGTATGTGTGTTTGTGTGTCTGCTGATGGATATGGGCTTGTGTCTGAGCGCTCACATGTATCTGTGCATTCACGTGTGTTCGTGTCTAGTCACACACGTGTGCCCATGTATCTGCTGACCTGTCCTCCACTAATCACTGGAGCTTTCCGTTATTAACCGCTCATGTTCAAATACCCCCCACTCTGGGGCTGCTGCCCCCAGCACTCTGCCCCCCTCCCTCCCAGAGCCTGGGTGGCTGCAAGGCAGAACCACTCTGATTACCGCACCATTCACAATTGACAAGCGTGGACCCGAGGAGCAGCCCACGTTGCTGTGCATGGCGCTGGGCACGTCAGCCTCGCATTCGTACTCTGGGTGGCTGGTTACGTCAGTCTGCAGGGCCTCTCCTCCCAGGGAGAGCAGGAGTCCCGCTGTAGACTACCTGGGACCTGGGTGGCACGCGCAGCGCCTCCCCACACACAGACAGGCAGGCCAGCCCCAGACAGCCCCCCAGGACACCAGACTTAGAGTGTGCACACACACACACACCTACACACACACACATGTACACATACACGTACACACGCACACAGCCCCATGCTGCAGGATGTTTTCGCCCTAGACACATGCACACGACACTGCCGAGGCTGGGAGCGAAAGAGGCCGGCTGAGAAGCGGGTCTGGTTTTCTGAGCTCAGCCAAGCTTGGGGCAGGATGTGGGGTGGGGAACAGGCTGAATCCTGCCCCTTCCCCCCACCCCACCGGGCTGTTCCTCCAGACTTTCCTTACTCAGTTTGCTGGATATTTTGCCCTTTTCTGGGGACCTTTCAGTGAGGCTCTCAACGCGGTTTGCATACAATCCTGGAGTCCCTCCCACAGTACCCATGTCAGCAGCATTAACCTCCTTTTGCAGATGGGAAACCGAGGCACGTCACAGTGAAGAGACTCACCCGAGGTTACAGAGCAAATCAATGGCAGATCTGGGAATGGAGCCAGGGGGCCGCAAGCTCTCACCACTGATCTCAACTGCCTCTCTCACCTCTGCGCCCCACCCAGGACCCAGCTTCTCCCACAGAAATAGGAAAAAATGGCACAGTTCTTACCTCTCTCCACTGCTTGGTCTCTATCCCCTGGGTATACAGCACACACACTGGGGGGAAAGAGAACAGGACGCAGGTTAACGTGGACAGTTGGACTGGTACGTGCCTCTCCTTTGGGGCGTCTGGTCCAGCAGACCAGAGCCTTCCTCCCACTCTGAGGAAGGAGAGGGTGGGGCTCTAGTGTCGCCTTTTTGATTTGGAAGCCAAAGATTTTGGTCCGTCAAGGGGATCTCTCTGGCTCCCCTCCCCCCCCCCACACACAGAGGTCAGCGTTAGCTGCATCACAACTAGCACCCAGCGGCTCCCACCAGGGCCCCATTGCTCTACAGGCTCTACTAAGAGATATTCCCCACCCCAAACAGACCAGACAGACAGAGGGTGGGAGGGGAAATTGAGGCACAGAGAAAGGAAGTGACTTGACCAAGGTCATCCAGCCGCTAGTGGCAGAGGCAGGAATAGAAGCCTGAGTCCCAGCCAAATGCCCTGACCATGGGGCCACGCTGGTGCTCCATCAGTGCATGCGTTATTACAGACATCGTTCCTACCTGTGGGTCACTGTGCCCTGCTCTGAGTGCAGTTACACCCCTCAGAAGCCTGCTGCCCCCCTGCCCCACGGATCAGCACCAAGGAAGCTGAGTCTAGGCCAAGCTGCCTAACCCAGATTCTTCTGAAATGGTTTCAGCACAGGCCAGGCCTTCCCCAGCACTGACAGGGCATTGCTCAGAGGCCTGGGCGGAGTCTCCATGCCCGCCTGGCATGTGCCCAGAGCAGGGACTGCTAGTGCTACCCGACTGCCTTTAAAGAAGCCCAGAATCACTGACCAGACCCAACACACATGGGACCAGAAACTGGGGACCTCTGCTCTGGGTGTGGGAGGAACAGGGGCCTCCCCCAGCAGGGCTGACAGGAGCCATGCTGAGCTTGCCCGGCTGGCAGCGTCTCCTTGCCCAACCCAGGGGGTGGAATGAATCACCCCAGGGGATCTGACAGGCGGCTTTGTGGCTGCCACATGGAGTGGCAGCGGAAAGACCAACCAGAGATTATTCTGTGTCATGGCATAGCCTGGCCCAGGGAGCTGCTCCCTGGGCAGCTCCATGTGAGCAGCACAAGCTGCTGCTGGCCTGGGGATCCCCACCCAACGCTACCCCGTTCCCTCCCCGTGCCTGAGCACTAGCTCCGCAGCTCCCATTGGCTGGGAACCGCAGCCAATGGGAGCTGCGGGGGCAGCGCCTGCTGGTGGAGGCAGCACACAGAGCCGCCTAGCTGTGCCTCCGCCTAGGAGTAGCAGGGACAGGTTGCCGATTGCAGGGAGCCGCCTGAGGTGAGCGCCGCCCAGATCTGGCACCCTGAAACCTCTCCCGTGCCCAAACTCCCACCTAGAGCCTGCGCCCCGCACCCCCTCCCACACCCTGAACCCCTCATGGAAGGTCCTGTGCCTAGGAGCAGCAGGGACATGTCGCCGCTTCTGGGGAGCCACGCAGAGCCAGGTAGGGAGCCTGCCGGCCCCGCGCCAACCAGACTATAAACTGGACTTTCTATGAAGATTAGAAATGCCGGTTTACAGAGTGTTCCGGTTGGTACAGGGCCAGATAACACCGTTTTTCCTGTATTCGAACTGTAGGGACGTGTTCAGTGTTCGGACTTTACTGAGTGCTTGGGAGCAGCTGCCGGCGTCAATCTCACCCAGAACGTCGGTATCCCTTATCGGACGGTGACCGGTGAGCAGCTGTATTGTGAGCCTGTGACAGTGTGAACCACCAGCCAGGAGAGAGATGTTAGCTAGCGCGAAGGGCTGGGCTCCAACCGAAGGTGTGATGCTCGGCCCCACAGGAGAGGTCCATCGACACCAGGTGGACTATTGTGAGACATTGAAGAGGACGAAAGATGTTGGCTGTTCTGCCCTTGCCCAGGAAAATGGGTCATGAGAGTGGATTCCTCCCACTGGCTGAGTTTGCAGCTCAGAGCACACGGTAAGAGGGGGGATAAAAACTCCTAACAAGGAGGAACTGGATCTCTGTGCTGCTTGGACTCGGGGGAAGGGGGGAGGGACAGTGAGGTTTACTAGACATAAGTAAGAGATCCCCAGAAGCCTTAAAGGATGTATAGAGCTTGTTTATTTTAGAAGCTTCTACAGTTGAACCTCAGAAATACGGGAATGGAGGTTGTTCGTAACTCTGAACAAGACATTATGGACATCAGCCACGGGAGCGAGGTTGGGGCTGCAGACGTGGGGGGCGGGGTCAGGGCTCCAGGCGGGTGAGGGGATCGAGGTTTCTGACCCTCGGGATGCCAGGGCTCCCGGAGGGGAGCTCAGGGTTTCTGCCCCGCACCAGGGCTCAGGGCTTTAGACCTGGGGGGAGTGCTTGGGCCTGGGGCTTCAGCCCGACAGCTTCATTCCCAGCTTCAGCCTCACGGGGGACTGGGGCTCAGGGCTCCACACAGCACTGCTCCCGGTTTCAGCCGAGGGGGGCACTAGGGCTCAGGGCTTTAGCTACATGGGGGAGAACGCTGGGGCTGAAACCAGAGCTCCCCTCATAGGTAAAGCCCCAAGACCCAGAGCCCCCCTCAGGGCTGAAGCCGGAAATGAAGCTGTGGGGCTGAAGCACTGAACCCCGGAGCTCCCCCTCAAGTCTAAAGCCCTGGGGCCCAGTGTTCCCAAGGGTCAGGACCCCAGAGCCCCCCCCCCCGCCCCCTGGAACCCTGACTCCCCCCGTTCCACCGTGTGGCTGCAGCTCCAGCTCCCACCTACCCACCCCCCGCCCTGTGGCTGAAGTGTGAAGCCCCGAGCCCTGCAGGGCTAAAGCCCCAAGCCTTTCCCGCCCCTAGTGGGCCCTGGAGTTTTTATAGTATGTTGGAGGGGGGGCTCAGAAAGAAAAAGGTTGAGAACCCTGCAGTACAGTATTTGCTGGGGTTTTGTTTTGTCTCTGCTGCTGCCTGATTGCATATTGCCAGTTCCACACGGTGTCCGGTTGACCGGCCAGTCCGTAACTCTGGAGTTCCTGTCTGAGGTTCTACTGTATTATACAAATAAGTTACAATCTTAAGTTTGAAAACCTCTCTCTGTTCACCTGCTTTAACCCCGTCAATAATTCTCATTTCCTTTCCCTACGTAATACATCTGTAGATAGTTTGTTAGAGGCTTGGCTGCAAACCTTGTCCTTGGGGTGAGATCTAAGGTGCAACTGAGCTGGGGGAAGTGACTGGTCCTTTGGGACTGGGAGTGACCTGAACCTTGCTGTAATCTGTGGTGAGGGACCAGCTACCACAAAGGTGGATGGGCGGCGAGACAAATCGGCATGCCCAAGGGGACTGTCTGCGACTCCGTGTTCAGGCTGTTGCAGTGCCAGAGACGTTCACACTTGATACTTGGCTGCTGAAATCTAAGCGCAGAACTCAGCCAATATGGGCCCTGCTCCCGCCAGTCTGCCCTGAGGTTGGGACGCAGACTCTCGCCTCACTGCAGGCAGCTGTACTGGTGGTTTCAGTCAGTAGGAACCAGCCTGAGACCCAGCAAACTCATCTCACACAGGGACCACCAAGCAGTCACTTCTGGCCTGGACGGGACTTGAATCAGTGACAGAGACTCTGCGGCCCCAACCCCCATCCCTGGAGCCATCCAATGCCCCCTTCCCCACCCCCCCCCCCATAACTGCGCCAGTGCAGCCTCATGTGCACTCCCATGTGCTTAACGTGACTGTCCATGCAGTGCCATGTGCTGGATGACATGCTGCCCCACAGCATCCTTCCCCCACATCTCTGCTCCCTGGAGGCTGGGCCAGACTCATGCTGCGCTAACGAGTTAAAAGCTAACCCGAGGGGATTTCTGGCTCATTTCACACCCAGATCTGGTCTGGGGATTTCACAGAGGAGAGCGAGAGCTGAGAGGCACTCTCAGCAAATTGTCATTTGGAGACAAGTCAAGGAGCTGTGGGCTCGATTCTAATGCTATTTACTGAACAGAGCAGCTGCTTACGAGACGAGGGAGTTCGGCTGGGCTTGGCGCAGTTCATCCCGGGAAGATGAATTTCCTAGCGGCACGGCGCACTCTGCACCAAGTACTAATCTGCTGGACCCTGCTCCAGACCAGGAGCACCCCAATCCCCAGCGCTGAGCCCCGCTACCCCCGAAGTCCTGCGCTCAGTGTCCCCTGTGAGGGGTTCTCTGGGGCTGGGCTGGAGAGGATGTTCCCAGGCCGCTGCACCTCCCTTTCCTGGAGGGTTTCCTCCCAGCCCCCCAGCTTATCCATCGCTTGCCCTGCCCCCGCTGCTGTGCATGGGGCTCACAGACCAATGTGCGCAGGCCTCTGGCCACAGGGCCCTGGCTGCTCCAGTGCTGACGTACCCCACCCCAGCTCTCCCTGGGGCCCCTGACCAACAGGGAGCAGGAGGCACTGAGACCCTTCCCTGCAAGCCCGCCCCCTCAGGCCCAAGTCTGCAGACCCCGGAGGCGGAGGGGGTTTGGAGAAGCCCCCCACCTTTGGGACCCCTAGCTCCAACCCCTCGGAGTCCCCCCATGTGTATTCCGGTCTCCCCCCACCAGGGTTAGCAGCAGTTGTACAGGAGACCCTCAGCGGCCCTGGGCTCACTTAGCACATCACCACCGGGATGTGGGCAGTCAGACCTTGTGGTCAGAGCAGGAGCCAGGGCAGAGTCCCAGACAGGCCAGAGGGCAAAACTGAGAGTCGAGTGAGATCAGACACGAGAGACAAACTTAGAGCAGAACCACGGATCGATAACCAGCGTTGGGCCAGGGCAGCGGGAAGCTCTCCGACCACAGCCAGGTGGGTCTGTCCCATGGATGACTTGCTGTGCCTGTGCCCTGGGCCCCAGCGTTCTGCCAATCAGCTCCCAGGACTGGGGCCTCTGGCTGAGGCCAGCTCCTCGTCTCACCCCAGGTGGCAGATTGGATTTTACAAGCTCTAAAGCAGCCCCGGCCAGCACAACCCCCCTTGGTACTTACTTGGGTCAGACTTGGAGAAGGTGTCCTTGTCCAAGAGGTGCCTGGAAGGAAGCAGAAGAGAACAGGTTATGGTGAGGCTCCGGTTGCTCCCCAGCCAAAGGGGTCCCCATAGACTGTCTCTGGGCAGAGGCACTTCACAGCCCTGTCAAGCCCCAGCCTGAAGTGGGCGTGATCCACAACTGGGTCGTAGCTTCCTCCCGCTGCCAGCCGCCTCTAAGCTCCGGGCCCTTCAACCCCTGCCTCCTGTTCAAACTGCTCCTCTTCCTCGGCTGTCAACGCAGCTCAGTTCTGGGGTGCAGCACTCCCTGGCCTGAGCCCCTCAATCCCAGCCCTGGGCTCCCCCCCATGCACTGCTCAGCTGATGTATTTCACTTCTCACCCACTGCCCCTCTGCTATTCCAGTCCTGGGCTCTCTCACATCCAGCTCTGCCAGTGTCCCTCAGTCCTGACCCCCAGATCTGGGCTCCCCATTATGGTTGTGCCAATGCCCCACAGCCCTTCTGACTAAGACAGGGCTTTTCCGTACTTCCACAAATGCCAAGAGAGTCCAGGAAAAGCTGCTGCTACCACAAATATGCCAAACCCAACATTTGCAGCCCCGTCTCTCCACCAGCGAACTGCAGGGCTCAGCCGGACCAAACACATCGCAGCAGGACCTACGGTAACGGCAGCATGGCCATCGATTCGATGGCCCCAGGCATCCCTGCTCAGCAACTGCTGTCATCCCCCAGCCGTGGCCGGTGTGCAATGAATTCAGCGGGTCTCAGCCTCCTTTCAAACACACAAGCATTGACAGAAAATCAACATGACAACTGACTTCCTCGTTTGCAGCCTCAGCAGAGAGCCCAAGGGTGAGTGGGCTGTGGAGTCTGGAGGACAAACCTGACAGGGCAGGGCTGAGATGCCGTGGCAGGGGTCAGTGGTAGGAAGCCTGCCTCTCCTGGGCTGTGATAGGCAGTGTAATTACTGATGCTGTGATGGAGCCTAGGTGTGCCAGCAAGGGTCAGAGCCCATCACACCAGTGCCACACACATGTAATGAGAAGCCAGGCCCTGCCCTGGTGAGCGTACAATCTACGTAGCTGCCTTTTCGCTGGAGACACCTGGCACCGTCGGCCAGCGCGCCCTGGACCTCAAAGGAAATAAACCAGCCCTCAGGAGCTGTGCTTGCCAGCACAGGTGTGCCAGACCCCAGCTGGCGTAAACCAGCACAGATCCCGACAGGTCAGAGCAGCTGATTTGCACCATCTGCGCGTCGGCCCATGGTTTTCAGCAGTTGCTGGTTCTAGAAGTGAGGGAAGGCAGCCCCACCCTAAGTCAGTATTTTCTCTCTGTCTCCGTCCCCTCTCCCCCTCCCTAGCCCCAGCGCAGGCAAGTTATCAGAATATCACATGTGCTTCTCATTACTGTCTCCTGATACTTGGGATTTACCAGCCCTCCCGCTCCGGGGAAGGGCTTCCCCTGCTCGCCAGGCATCTGCAGTGGGCTGAGACACCAGGGAGGGGGGTCCAGCCATCGGCGTAGCAGAGAGAGGATGTTGCGCTTTGCACGGCAACCCCTCAGGCAGGTGCACATAGAGCTGGAGAAGCTGCGTCCAGCCCCTTTCTCCACACAGCGGGGGGAGCTGAGCTCTGCCGAGTGCCGCGCGTGGTACAAGGAGCAGGATTGGCTGGGCCGTGGCTAGGATACAAGATTGAATTGTTGCCAGCAAGCAGAGGGAATATCCCAAGTAGGCTTTGCTAATGCACAAAAAGCAAAGTAGCCCAAGGCCTTCCCGGAGCCTCACCCCCTGGGATCTCCCGGGGCATTCAGAGACAACAGGGCTCTACCAAAGGGATGGTGCTGCAGGGAAGGCTGAGGGCAGGAGTCCTGGATTCTAGTCCCTGCTCTGGTGCTACCTTAGTGTCTGCTGTTTAGTGTTTTGAGATCCCCAGTGACGATCGCCATTACAGCATACAGATTATTGATTCCTCCATTGATAAGATGTGCATTTCCCTTCGACCGCAGGAAGACTGTCAATCAAAACAATGGTCCAGACCCTCCATGGGTATCTGCAGGTGTAGCTCTCTGGTTCAGATGTTGCAGTCATTTACACCGGTATAAATCAGGAGTGAACCCACTGGAGAGATTTCAATGGACTTACTCTGGATTCACACCACTTTGACAGTTTTATTGTCTCACCAGTGTAAATCAGGAGTGACTCCACTGGGCCCCGTTCTCCTCTCATTCCCCTGGTGTAAATCAGGAGTGACGCTAGTGAAGTCAATGAAGGGACACTGGGGTAAGGGAGAGAACCCAGGTCCTGCTCTCAGCCAGTGCTCGTGCTCCCTCCCAGAGGATGCAGCCCCTTCGCAGCAGCACGCACCCTGCAGCACCCCATACGGCCTGATGGGCGAGACCAGGCACAGGGGATGCTCAGCCTCTGTCCCCATTGCCCGGCTGCCCAGCGCTCCCGGGGGCTGCCGGAAACCAACCCGAGAGCAAGCGCCAGCACAGGAACAGCCAGGATGGGGAGGCAATGGCAAGGGATGTGCCACATGCCCTGGAGAAGGCTCAGCGGGGCAGCTCTAGCAAAGTTCCCTGGCATGGCAAGGGTTAAAGAAAGGAGTACACCCCTCCCCTTCCAGTAGCTGAGCGTTTCCGCTCCTCGCAGCAGGATGCACCAGCCCCCGCCCACCCACCCCCAGCTGATGGGAGAGTCCCTGGCACCAGGCTAGTGGATCAGCTCTGCCATTGCCCAGCTGGGAGATCTGCCCGCGAGCTGCACCTCCCCTTCAGCATGGTGATCAGGAGTGGAGCACTCACTCGGGGCATCCCCACGCCCGCAAGGCAGTGGGGAGATCAGCCATGGCTTCCCCACACAGAGAAAGAGCAGGCAAACTGGTTGAAACAACAGTAAAGAACAGAATCATCAGACATATAGACGAATACAATTTGTTGGGGAAGAGTCAACACGGCTTTTGTAAAGGGAAATCATGCCTCACCAATCTACTAGAATTCTGTGAGAGGGTCAATGAATGTGTGGACAATGATGATCCAGTGGATATAGTGTACCTGGACTTTCAGAAAGCCTTTGACAGGGTCCCTCACCAAAGGCTCTTGAGCACACTAAATAGTCATGGGATAAGAGGGAAGATCATCTTCTGGACCAGTAACTGGTTAAAAGACAGGAAACAACGGTTGGAATAAATGGTCAGTTTTCAGAATGGAGAGAGGTAGATAGCGGGGTTCCCCAAGGATCTGTAGTGGGACCAGTACTGTGCAACATATTCATAAATGATCTAGAAAAGGGGGTGAACGTGAGGTAGCAAAATTTGCGGTTGATACAAAATTATTCAAGCTAGTTAAGTCCCAAGTTGAATGTGAAGAAATTGCAAAGGGATCTCACAAAATTGGGCAACAAAATGGCAAATGAAATTCAACACTGATAAGCATAAAGTAAAGCACGTTGGAAAAAATAATCCCAACTATACATATAAAATGATGGAGTCTAAATGAGCTGTTACCACTCAAGAAAGAGATCTTGGCGTCATTGTGGATAGTTCTCTGAAAACATCCACTCAATGTGCAGCGGCAGTCAAAAAAGCAAACAGAAGTGTTAGGAACCATTAGGAGAGGGAAAGATAATAAAACAGTAAATATAATGCCACTATATAAATACATGGTACGCCCACACCTTGAACAGTGCGTGCAGATCTGGTTGCTCCATCTCAGAAAAGATATATTAGAATTGGAAAAGGTAGAGAGTGGAGCAATAAAAATGATTAGGGGTATGGAACAGTTTCTATATGAGCAGAGATTAAACACACTGGGACTATTCTGCTTAAAACAGAGATGACTAAGGGGGGATGTGATAGAGGTCTATAAATCATGACTGGTGTGGAGAAAGTGAATAGGGAAGTGTTATTTAACCCTGCACATAACACGAGAACTAGGGGTCACCTGATGATATTAATAGGCAGCAGGTTTAAAACAAACAAAAGGAAGTATTTCTTCCCACAACGCACAGTCAACCTGTGGAACTCCTTGCCAGGGGATGTTGTGAAGGACAAAACTCTAAGGGCACGTCTTCACTACCCGCCGGATCGGCGGGTAGCAATCGATCTATTGGGGATCGACTTATCGCGTCTAGTGAAGACGAGATAAAATCGATCCCCGATGGCTCTGCCGTCGACTCTGGAAATCCACCGCGGCAAGAGGCGGAAGCGGAGTCGACAGCAGCGCGGCAGCGGTTGACTCACCGCCGTCCTCACAGCCAGGTAAGTCAACCTAAAATACGCAACTTCAGCTACGCTATTCACGTAGCTGAAGTTGCGTATCTTAGGTCGACACCCCCCCGCCCTCCCCCATAGTGTAGACCTAGCCTCACAGGGATCAAAAAAAGAACTAGAGAAGTTCCTGCTGGATAGCAGACAGGAGCAGCTAACAGGGGAATTTTGTGACGGGGTTTAGAGGGGGAGTGTATGGGGGAGGGCTAGATACATTTAACATTCTTTAAACTTAAAGCCCAAAAAAACCCCTGATAAAAACAAAACATCAACAAAGGAACGAGCTGCAGGAGTAAAAGGAGAAGGCAGGCAGAGTCCAGGAACAGAGTGGGGACTACCAGTTTATTGCACCCAATGCAGCATGTTTATTGCTCCCCCCAGCCTCTCTCAAGGTCTACACTATTGCTGCTGACCCAGGTCTCTGGAAGGGTTTCCCTGCCCACCCCCCGCACTCGCCCCAAACAGAATCAAACCCACCCCCCCATCCACAATGCCTACGAGCAGCCTTCTAGCCTCCCCTAGCAATTCTTGATTTAGTCCTAAGTGGAGCACAGGATCTGGTCCAAGAGGTGAATATAGCTGGACCGCTTGGTAATAGTGACCATAACAGAATTAAATTTAACATCCCTGTGGTGGGGAAAACACCACAACAGCCCAACACTGTGGCATTTAATTTCAAAAAAAGAGGACTACACAAAAATGAGGAGGTTAGTTAAACAGAAATTAAAAGGTACAGCACCAAAAGTGAAATCCCTGCAAGCTGCATGGAAACTT